AATACAGTCTGCAGTATGGATTACATCTCAATATAAAGAAAACAAAAATCCTCACAACTGGACCTATAAGCAGCATTACGATAAATGGAGAAAAGATTGAAATTGTCAAAGACTTCACATTGCTTGGTTCTACAACTGACGTCAATGGAAGCAGCAGTCAGGACATTAGATGATGCATGGCATTGGGCAAGTTGGCTGCAAGGGACCTCTTTCAAGTGCTGAGGAGCAAGGATGTCTCCTTGAGGACTAAGGTGCGCCTGACACAAGCCATGATACTTTCAATCGCTTCATATGCATGTGAGAGCTGGACAATGAATAAGGAAGACTAAAGAAGAATTGATGCTTTTGAGTTGTGGTGCTGGTGAGGAATACTGAAAGTACCATGGACTGCTAAAAGAATTAACAGATCTGTCCTGGACGAAGTGTAGCCGAAATGCTCCTTGGAAGCAAGAATAGCTAGACTTCATCTCACCTATTTTGGTCATGTTGTCAGAAGGGACCACTCCCTGGAGAAGGGTGTTCTGCTTGGTAAGGTGGAGGGTCCATGAAAGAAGGGAAAGCCCTCATTGAGATGGACTGACACAGTGGCTGCAACGATGGGCTCAAGTATAGCAAGGATCATGAAGCTGGTACAGGATCGGGCGATGTTTTGTTCTGCTGTGTATAGGGTTGCTATGAGTTGGACTTGACTCGATGGCACCTAACAACAACAACACTATTACTGGAAAGCTTTTTGAATAGCAGTGAAACATTGTTTGATATAGTGCTGGAAGATGAGCCCCTAATGTTTGAAGATACTCAAAATACAACTAAGGAAGAGCTGCCTCCTCAAAGAAAAGTCGATCTTAATAATAACAGGGATGGAATAAAGCTTGGGACATTTAATTGCTCATGTGGAAAGACTGAAAATAGGAGGAAATAGCTGGAAATATTCATTAATAATTGGAATGTGGGATGTACGAAGTATTAATCCAGGAAAATTAGAAGTTGTCAAAAATGAAATGGAATGCATAAAGATTGATATCCTAGGCATTAATGAGCTGAAATAGACTGGTATTGGCCATTGTGAATCAGACAATCCCATGGTCTACTATGCTGGAGATGACAAAATGGAGAAGAACGGTGTCACTTTCATTGTCAAAAAGAACATTTCAATATCTATCCTGAAGTACAATGCTGTCAGTGGTAAGATAATATCCACACATCTATAAGAAAGACCAGTTAATACTTCTATTATTCAAATGTACATACAAACCACTAATGCCAAAGATGAAGAAACTGAAGATTTTCTGCATCTTCTGCAATCTGAAACTGACCAAACATGCATTTAAGATGTATCGATAATTACTAGTGACTGGAATCTGAAAGTCGGAAACAAAGAAAAGCATTGGTAGTTGGAAAATGTGGCCTTGGTGAGAGAAACAATGCTGGAGATTTCATGATAGAATTTTGCAAGACAAACTGAACAGCATAACTGCTAGAAAAATTATATTTTTAGATATCATTCCCTTGTCAAATCTGCTGCTTTCTTGGACTGACATCACCATTCTCCAAATCTTGTAATCTAATACCTCATTTTTGATATCTCATCAGTTGCAAAATCCTACATTTTACTGTTCTAATAAGTCTCATCCTCCCATCTTTATTTCCATTATCACTTCTCTTGCTTCCAA